CCCCCGCCCGCCCGCCCCGGCCGCGCGGCCGGAGGCTCCGGGAGAGCCCGGCGAGGAGCGGGCGGGGGGGAGCGCGTTAGGCGGAGGGCCCCGCACCGCGGTTCCCGCTCCGCCCCGGGCTCCGCTCCCGCACAGGCGCCCAGAGGGGCGCGGCCCGGCTCTTCTCTCCCCTGCGTCCCCGAGTGTCCGCAGGCGAGGCGGGTACACGCTACCTCGGGACGGTCAGCTAAAAACTCCTTTGAGCTTCTGCCTTGCCTTTCAAACTTGCTCGGTAAAAGATCGAACCGTCCAACTATGCATCGTTTTATCTGTTTTACCTCTGAAATGAAGGGCCGCATTTTCCTTTAATCCTTCACAAGTAAGTCCTGCCTATGCCTTCCCCTCCTCTTTAGAACAACAGAGAAGTCCTTGACTTCTGGGTTTACTTCATGTCATATAAGACATGCACTGTTTGGTGGTGTGGTATTTTGTTTCAAAGATTTGGGTATGCATGTTTGCAAGGAAAGATGCAGTCATTTGCTATCAACCTGGATGCTTCTTCTGCATAGATCAGCTAGAACTATGGACCATATAAAAAAAGGATGAGAAAAAAAAACTTTCGAAGATGATTCAAGGATTGGAGCATCTCCCTTATGAAGAAAGGCTGAGAGCGCTTGTACTCTTTAGTCTGGAGAAGAGAAGGCTGAGGGGAGACCTTATTAATGCTGACAAGTATCTAAAGGTTGGGTTGAAGGAAGATGTACCCAGACTCGTTTCAGTGATTGCCAGTTAGAAAACGAGCGGCAATGGGCACAAGTTGGAACATAAGAGGTTCCACTCAAATATGAGGAAAAGCTTCTTCACGGTGAGGGTGCCAGAGCCCTGGAACAGGTTGTGGAGTCTCCTTCTTTGGAGATTTTCAAGCCCCGCCTGGATGCCGTCCTGAGTAACATGCTCTGACAAGCTCTAGGCAATCCTGCTTCAGCAGGGGAGTTGGACTAGATGATCTATATGGTCCCTTCCAACTCTAAAAATTCAGTGAAATTCAGTGAATACATCCTTCAAAGTGCTTTACCAGAGGGAGAAGGAAATTACTGTAATTTCCCACACTTGATGTGTGTACTTACTTACTTAAGTTGGCATTGCTCAGTTGCTTTATCTAGTAAGTCTTGTCCAAGTGGTGAAAAAGTGTCTTGGAAGTAAGACAAATGTTTTGACTGCACAATAAAATCCCAGTGCAAGAGCCAGTTCTTCCCATTGTTTGCCTAGCTTTAACACATTCTTTATGTTTATCTTTTTTGTGGCTAGTGCAAGGGGAAAGAATGCCTTGAGAGGAGTTGGTAGGTTTGAATGAAGCACTTCATATTCTAGACTACTTACAAAAAGTGACTTCAGTGTTTTTACCGTCACTGTTGTTGGCTTTATTTGATACTGTCTGATCAACAAGTTTTTGTGAGTTCTGCTATGACCATCTCCTCCCGTGCATTGTACACAGAGGCTAGGCACGTAGCTCCAGGCTGAAGACTTGATACAGACGCTGGGCTTCTAAAGCTTAGATGCAGTGATGGTGAGTGTCAGTGTGCATGTTACTTTGTGCATCTGGCCAAAAATTTTACATCACTCAGAAAGCCAATTAAATCAGATCTTGCGGATAGTAAAGTAGCTAGTTGTTATTCTTGGAAATTAAAATGCCTTTATTTCTAAAAATGTAAAGAAATCGGGTAAGAACATTCATACACAGAAAGCATTTTAGGAAAATGAACAAAAAATTTACTGAGATACAGACCAAAATGAAATAGGAAGGAAAGTGACAACCTGCATTTCACAAAATTAGTGGCATAGAACACTTTAAGCTGTTTACTGGCAGAAAAGAGAAAGAATGAAATTCTTTGCCACATCTTCCTTTGTTGTATTACAATTCCCTTTATTCTTATTCTCACTTTTCTTTAAAGATAGGAGATGCTATTTTAATTTTGAAGATTATATCATCATCAGTTTTAAAATAAAAATATTTTAGTGCTTGTTTCTTAGAATTATTCCTTCCAATGGCAACCATCCCATCAGCAAGTCGTAGTCAATATGGGTGACTCCACATAACTTGTTTTATTTTGTAATTTTTCCCCCTGGCGCACAGCTAGAACTGGAGATATGGAGACATCTGTGCCCTGTGAAGCAATACAGTCCGTTCAGATATATCAGCATAAACAGAAACTTTACAATAGAAGGACTGGGCATACCAAATATATGACCACCACTGTTCTTTTGTTTTATACATTAAACATAGACATTGTTTTATACATTAAACAGACTGAGACTGTGCCATACTCTCAGTATGTCAGAAAGCTAAAAAATAATAAAGTTTACCTGTCTGGCTGTTAACTGCATGAGGCTGAGGATATGAACAAAGCTGGAGCTCTTGGAGGGTTCGTGTGTTGACATTAAAGGCAGAGTGCAGCCCTGGACTAGTTTTGAATTTACCCTGAAGTGTGTAGAACAGGCTGGAACTTCTCAGGTGCAGAAGCTGGGGGCTTTTAATGGTTAGTTCTGGGGGGTTTGGTAAAATGAGTATTGTTTTTCCCAAGGGAAATACATCTTTTCTTTTTCACTTTTCTCTATGTCACTCTTGAAAGAGAACAGCTGTAAAATCAAGCTCAGAATTCAATCCAAGTAAAAATAAAACACGATAAGCAAATAATTGTTACTGCAAAATAAACTACATCCCAGCTTCCCTAGGAACTTACACAATTCCAGCTCAAGGTGCAAAAGCTACGGGCCTTTCCAAGCAGCAGTCAAAGGTGGACAAAGTTTTGGATCTTAGAAGTTGTCTTTTACAGAAGACTGATGGAAAGATCAGTCTGTGTAGACTTAATATAACTTTTATGGCTTAATGGGCAGTAACAGGGTGCTTATTCCAGTCTTAGTCACTTTCTTATTTGAAAATTAGAAACAGAAAATCAAATGATGATGTGATAGTAAGATAATTTTTACAGGTGCAAGAGGAGAGAACTAATTTGATTAAGTATGTTCATGGAGCTACTTATTGGGATTCTCCTAGGAGAAAAAAATGGTAATGAATTACTATTTATTCCCATGTAACATCATGTAAAATGAAGAGTTTTGTAAAATAACAGAACTTGGAGGATGCTGTATGTTCTAAATAATGATAAAAGACAATAGAGGAGGAGAACGATTATTTAAAAAAGCAATTTTTTAACAGGTAGTGAAACATGCCAGCCCTATTACAGTATCGTGCGCTACCAGAGAACTAGCCCAAGAACTCCCTTGCCTTGTAGAGTAAGAAACATTGTTCTTAACTCTGAATCCTCTCCACGTGTTTTTTGGCAGAGTGAAGATGAGTTGTGAAGAGATTCTTGTGTGTCCAATTCAACTTGGAGAAAATTTCTGCCTCTATTTTGCAGGTAATTACTACCCACTGCTGAAAGAGGCACACTGTTTCTTTTTTCTGCATAGAAGATCAAAAGCTGATACACAATTCAATCCTTTCCTTGGGCTGGCACCCCTGGTTTTGTGGAATCCCGTTTTTTCCCTCCATGTTATCTGAACAATCCTCAAAGCTGTTACAATCCCCACCCACTTAAAAAAATGATAGTACTTAGATTATGGAGCCAGGCTATTCACTGCAAAAAGAGTCTGAATTTGAGACAGCTGTCCCAGAATGGTCAGTACCATATTATTGTTGAACACCTTAAGCATTGAATAACTTCTTTTTGATCGAATACTGATTAAAAACAATTCCTTTCTCAGTCTGATTTTGCCTAGTTTTCCCAAAAGCTTAAGTTGGAAGTATTGTTAGCCAAGTATGTGATTCAGCAGAATATTTGTTGCTTCATACAATACATTCCCATAAAAGACACTCAGAAGGGTTGTAATACTGTCCCGTGGAGTTGGAATAAGTGGAAAACTTCCAATCTTACAGGATAAAGTTAGTTAGAAAACCGTCTCTTTTTTAGAAGCAATTGGACTTTAGAAGCAAACGACTGTTTATCATCCTTTGGCTCACTTAGAATAAAGGCGCTGATGAAAGCAAAAAATTGTATGCCATTTAACCCTTTGTTATAGACTTAAACTGATGTGAACTGCTCACCCTTAAGTAACCCTAAAATATTTTGCATGCCTCTTGGTTTGGTGGTAACTCCAGTTCTCAAATGACTGGTGGTTTCATCGTTCTGTTGAGTTTGGTATGCTCACAAAATACACCTCGTAGTTAGATCAGCTTACCTTGGTGAGCTAGTGATACTGGGGAGTACAACTGGAAACACGTAGGTGGCTGGCTGGCTTCCAGTCTTGCAGAGCAAAACTGTTTAGAAAGTGGTTTCTTTTGTGGGGGTAGAACTTAATGTTGTTTTTTCTTTCCTTTTTTTCATTGCTTACTTGGAACCAAGATGACGATGGTAAGGTGAAAGCTCATAATTTCTTAACTTCATTATCAATTTTACCTGAACTAACCTGCGCATGCTTACTCACCCACAAATGCTTTGTGTGCCTTGGAGAACAAGCTTTCAAAGTGATAACAGCTACTGTAAAAAAAGAACTGCAGCTCACCTTCTCCGTCTAAAGCTGATGTTGCTTTATTTCCTCCTAAGGTACAGGGTAGTGGCTTCCCTAACAGAAGGGCCTTTCAATGCAATTCTAACTATTGGGCAAGAGAGAGAACTGTTGCTTCTTAACAGATATAGTATCTTCTCTTACTTATAAGTACAGATTGCTGTATTCTGGGAGAGCCTTCTCTCTTGCCTGGATTACCACAAGCCAGAGGTGGAAAGAATGACGTGGCCTCCCTTCTGTTTGAGATTGCCATTCTAAGAATTTACTTCACCCAGTATCCTGACTGACAAGATTAAGCCCGTAGCGAACTGTTAAGATATGAGGCAATTACAGCTAAAATATTTTACCTTCTCTGCTTAATATTTCTACAGGGCTGGAATGTGATGCCTTCTGTAAGGAAAAAACTCTCCACAAATTCCTTCGAAATGTAAATAGCCAGTTGCTTGTGGTTCGACCAGATTTAAACATGGCAGGTTTTGAAGATGTAACAGATCAGGAGATGAGATCTGGTATGCCATTTTCCAAACATATACTATAACCATTGCACTAGTTCTATATTCTAGTTGTGCTTTTGTTCTTTATAATCCCTGACTCTAAATGATGAGACTGAAAGTAAAGATTTGTAAGAATAAAGCTAAGAGACCCGAAATTTTGTGTCTTGTGTTAGTAATGGATTAGATTAGACTAAGGCCTGCAGGATGTCCCATGCAGAAAAGGGCTGCTAAGACTTCTGGTTAGCTCTGATCACAAACTAAATTCTTAACCCTTTATTTGTTTGTGTGTTGGATTTTGTGTTTTGTTGGATTACAAAAAAATCATTTTAAACAGACAATGTATTTAGCACTAAAAACTTGTACTTTCTTATAACAGCAGTAGTTAACAATGTACTTATGGTTTTGGCTTTGATTTTTGGGGAGGCCTCAGCAATTCATTTAGAACTCTATTTGTTGAACATATTTATGTACAATCACATATATACAGATATAATCTGATTTACAGATGACTGTTATAAATTCAGTTCTCACTTTAAGCATAGACGTAAAACGATTTCAACATCCTACGTGTACTAACTGGCAACTTCACGTGCTATGTTGCAAATTCAAAATCCTGGTTATCGAATGATTGCAGAAAGTCAAATATGTGCTACCAGCAGTCATAAAAATTCAAGTCCTGACTCTCCTGTCAGGAAGAGTATCCTGGGAAGTCAATAGAATGGCATGACAAAATACAGTTAAGTCACTGCAGCCCTCTCCTGAGTTGCTTACTAACAAACAATTTCTATTTAGGCAATGGAATGCACTTCAACATTCACTGTTACAAAACTACCACACCTTCAGCAGGGATGCCTGTTGCATTCAGTGTCCAGGTAGAAGATAAAAGTTATTACATGTGCTGTGAGAAAGAATGTGGAAAAACGATAGTCCGATTTAGGGTAAGTATCTGCTTTGCATACTTTATGTATATATAAGTAGCAGGCAAAATTAAGAATTCAAACCTGTGTGAGCTGAAACAAACCTGCTCATGTTTTGTCCTAGGACTAACCCATTCCCTTTTTCTTCTTCAGGAAGGAGAAGTTCCTGTAGACATTCCTGGTGAAAGCAACGTAATCTTTTTCAAAAAGACATTTACATCTTGTAGCTCCAGAGCATTTAAGTTTGAATACTCACTGGAAAAAGGAATGTTTTTGGCCTTTGAGGAAGAAGGCTGCTTAAGAAAATTAATTCTAAAGAAACTGTCAAGAGAAGATGAAGTGGATGAAACCATGAAGATAAGTTTCTAACTTAAGTCAGAATGAAAGTCACAACCGATGACATACTTCAACAGTCTTAAAATATATTTTGGGCTTTTTAGAAAAGAAATCTTATTCCGAGGCAAGTCAGTTTTATATTTTTAACTATCATAAGTCAGTACAAAAATGAGCATCTTAAAAAGGAAAATAAATGCAAATTCTTGCCAAAAAGCAGCACTGGAATGTTTTCCAGTCAGATAAAATAAAAGAGAATTACACTATGAAGAAACAAGAATATGCATGTGTACATAGTCCTGTATAGTTTGATGCCTAAAAATATTTCCTGCCTGTTGCATTTGAATGCTTTAGAATTAGGTGTCTCAGATGAAGTTGACCAATTTTGGGGAGGGAGAGAAAACTGCTTAAAATAACAGACTTCATAAGCAGACCATGCACCTGGCCAATAAAGACTTTGGGATTACTTTTTCGCATCAAGATTATTTCCCGAGCGTCTTCATCAATCTCAGTTACACAGCAATATTCTTGCCTTCAACTGAACTAGAAACAATAGACAATTTTTAACTTACTGGAAATCTTTGAGAAAACCGCTAACTTAACTGAACAATTAATTAAGAATACTTAAGAACAAAAGTTAATAGTAATTACATGGAACCGAATCAATTTCAACGGGTGGTGCTTGACTGGGGAACACATGTAGTTCATAGAGAAAGCTGTGATCATTACCTTTAGTTCTTGCCTCAAAACCACAATGGATAGGTGTCAGAGTTGAGAGCCCCTAATATTGTAGATCCGGGCCACTACATTCCCAGAGCTCTCACACACTTCATTTCTCACACAAGGTATCTTAAACAAATACCACATCCAGATGCACCTTGTGTTTCATCTCAAAAGAGGAAATGTCAAACACTTTCCATAATACATGCTCAGATTGTTTGGAGGTACTTAGCAGTGACTTGTACACATGCATCTTCCTCACTATAACCAAAAAAAAAAAAAGTTGCATTGACAATTAAATCAGACCATGTGAGACAGAAGCAACCATCTCACTTCTGACCACAAGATTAGCAACACAGAAGTGGTCAGCTACATGGTATTTCCATGGTTACAGGAATAAATAAATAAATAAAACTTCCAATCCAGATTTTAAAAAAATAAAATCAAATCAGAAAGTCTTACAGAATTCAAACCGCAACTTACTCATTCTGGTTATTGCATAATCAGACTGACGGTAACAAACAATTCTCTTCCTCTTACTATTAATGGTACCATAGGAGTACCATTAGAATGTGGAAACAGTTAACCGCTCCTTACTACTATGAAAGTCAGAAAAGATAAAACGGAGAAGAAAGTTAAAAACCAGAATCTCATTTCCCCCATAAAATGCCCTGAGGCCTAAAGACACAGGAGAGAATGCTGCCTCAGGCTCATGACAAGCTATGACAGGGTATGTTTGTTGTATTTTCAATCACACAGGAAAATGTGTACCAATGTTTATTTAGAAAACAACCCCCCCCAAAAAACCGTTGCAGATGAACATACAGATTCCAGGGAAAATATGAAAGCCATATGCTATTTATAGCTCCTAAAATTAATCTGCAAAAGTCTTTTTTCTCTAAGTCAATTATTCCTGTATTTTTCTAACGGACATCACTCTTGTATGAAGTCAAGTGTAAGCCCCTTCTTTATGTATTGTCCTTAATACTTAATAAAAATACTTTTTAACATCTAAATGAAGTATTGCAGAGTAATAGTATGAATTAGTATTTGAACTTGATTATTAAAAGAAAAAAAGGATCAACCCAAAATCTGCAGAGAAAACACTGTAAGTAACCTGAAAGTAGTAGAAATTATTCAGAAGTATACACACACAATTTCTGTAAATTCTTTATTGTATGGATTAAGAAAAAAGTATTCCCTTTTCTACATCAACTTTTAGGGTCCAAAGAGTTACAGAGCGTGCCTTACATACAGTTCAATTGTTGTGATGTCAGAAATAACAGTTCAATTTTCCACAAGTTTGTTTTACAAAGTAGGAAACCAAACAAGAGTTATAACAGAAAAACACCCAGTAAAGCTGCAATTACAATGAAGTTTACCTTCAGCTATGTAAGTCTGTCATTGATGTAATTAATTTATAGTGCAGCTTAAATCACCCCATTGTCACCTGGACGTTATCCCCTTTAAGTCTACTTTTTCTTTTCTAACATTTTTACTGCTGTTGGATTATTTATTTCTAAAAGAAGAGCTCTGAACTTGCTGCAGCATGTACCTACTATAGACCCTTGGTTATTAATTTGTTTTGCATTAAATGTTGGTAAAAATACGATGACGCAGAGGCAGCAGTGAACAATCATGTTTGTCAGAGACTCAGTCGCATCTTAGAGGCTCCACAGCATGGCAACAGCCTTGCAGATACCAACATCATGATAGTTAAAGTAGCAGAGGCCAGCGAAGGTAACGGCTGACAGTACATACAGACCTGTATTGGCCAGCTTAATGGGTGTATCTCCATGGACGTAGTCAGTTATAACCTGTCCAAGACCCCTACAGAGTAAGAGGGAGAAAAAAGCTGCAATCAGGAAAGAGCATTCCTCACTGAAATTCATCCAGTTTATGTAAGCATTCTACTAAGATGGCTCAAACACATCAATTTTTCACCCACTATTATCAACCTTTGCTAAAGAATGCCCAGTTCCCACTCAAAAAGAAGATGTATCCATTTAAAACAAAACAAAACAACATTCCACATACAGTCTTAAAAACATACGTACTGGCTCAGAGTTTTCTTAATGGTACTGTGGAAACAAGGTGTTGAGCACAGCTCTTTCAACAATAGAATATGTAGAATCTGCCTCCAAGAAACAGTGGGCAGCTTAGCTGACTGCCAAGGACTGAAGAAAAGAAACCAAAGGAAATATGCTCCTTGCTTGGGCAGCAAGGCGTGGCTCTGGCCACTATCTGGTCTCAGCCACTATCACAAATGTACAGAAGACTCCAAGATGTGTATTTAGATTAGAAAATAGTGGCAACCAAAAAATTAGCATACTATATTTTTTTTCTACATCTGTGAGACTGGAAGTGAATTCTTGTCCAGATTTAAACTACTCATCAACAGGAAGACAGAGGGTGCTATTAAACTAACGTGGAAGTACAATTTTTGCTTTCTGCAATGACAAATGCCAACTTGGTAAAAAAAGAGAACCCTATTTAATGCCACACATTCCTTCCTAGAATTTTTGCCTTGGTCTAGTCTTACGCTGAAGGACTTGTCCCCTACAAATTAAGACACTCTAAGGACCTAGCAAGGTTCAAAGTCCTGCAGCAGATGCCACTGCAAGTAAACACTGAGCTCAGTTTCACTTAGATGGAGTTCTAATACCATAAAGATCTCAAAAGTGAGAAAAGGGGTGCAAGGAACCCCTGGAAACACAGAAGACAAGCAGAAAGTAGAAGCAGTCCAAGGCATACTCTCAAATTATTTTTACAATTAGACAGTGGAATAAGGTCAGGCATGCAAGTAGCATTTATCCACACTTCTAGCCTTCCAAAGTGCAGAAAGATACAGCATACTCACTCACAGGCTGCCCTTCAACAGTAGTGTTGATAAGCGATTGTCGCAAGATCTTTTCTTTGCATGGCACAATAAAAATGAGCCATCCTAATACTTCTCAGAAAAACTGCTGTGTAACTTAACAGCACGCTAATTATTCACTCAAAGTCCTCATGGGAAAGGACCGGTGGCCCTGAGAACAAGGAAGAGAATTATGAGAAATAGCTGATGTGTGGTAAATACACAATCTAGCTCACAAAACAGCAACTTCACTGGCGGGGGGGGAGGAAATCTTCATTACATGTCTGCAAAAATTGTACAAGATAAGCATGGCTTCAGGTATCTTGAGTCAGTCTGTTGATAGGTTAGTGTTTGGACCGATAAGCCCCTAACTACCTGAAGCATTATTTCCAACATATTTTAGGACAAGATTTCCTAAGGAAAAACATACCAAAAGGTTAAAGAAAACCCCTCAAAAATATATGCAATACTCCTCTGCAGTTTCTGATCAGCTATCAGAGGGATTATTTGATCTGTTACAGTGATCAAATTAATGTTTATGGCAAGAAAATGATCTTTTTTCTTTTAAAGATATTCTAGCACTGAATACCTATGAAAGTATAGGAGCAGAATTTTCCTACGTAGGAACAGCTTTAAGTTTTTAAGACAACGTTTTGCAAGATAAGAGTTTAATACTTGTCAAAATGTTCCAGCTTAAAAAGAGACCAAAAACCCCACAGAAGTGGGGGAGGAATTCACTCTGATGAAAGTTACCAGCAGAGATGAACGCAAGCAACATGACATCCGTCTCACAGGGGAAGTCCCCATGTGGTTATGGAAAAAAGATTTCTAGTATGACCAATCCTGACCCTTGTCAACAAGAGACATTCACCGAAGAATCAAATGTGCATGCATCGACACCGAAAGTCATCTAGAGAACCCATTTCAACTTATCAACCTGCAATAACCTCTTCCATTGCCTGGAATTTCCCCACATGGTCACATCTAGTATGGCACCAACTTGCACACACCAAACAAGTGAAGAAATGCTGCACAGGCAGGCAAGCTTAGGTTTATGTGTTTTATATTTGAAAGAGCTCTGTGTGGTATACTCAAGGATAGCCACATTTCAGATTGATTCCGTACTAGATTTGAGGGCTTTCGGGAAAAAGCTCCCAGTCAGCGAAAAAGTACAAGAATCCCTCGTACAACTTTGTAAGGGTAAACTGAGATTTAAGAAAACCTGGCATCCCAAAGTACTGTGAAGTTGTTTATAAGTTTTATTCCCGTGACAAGAAACTACAGACCAATATCTCCTCAAGAATGTAAATCCTGCCTATGAGGCCAACCACGCACTCCTAACTAGTCTCATCTAGCCTACTCGCATTAAAGATCACAGCAGAACTATACCTAAGAAGAACACGAGCAAGCATCCATTTCCCAGGAATCAAGGTCTCGGCTTCTTCAGTGGAATATTTGATATGAACTCTTTATTATGCAGAATCTCATCACCATTAAGATGTACAAAGCCAGCCCACGGCACAGAACCTGAGAAGAACAACTTGATTTATACAGATGTCTTGTTTCCTTTCCCTCTGGTCATACAACATTGATTCTTCTACAAAATAAAAACACCCAAGATTCTACACATGCAGTGGAAAGGAAGTCCTCCTAAGGGAAGATACTATGTAGAAGAACACTAGAGAATGTTTATGGATTCCTTACTAGTAATATGTATCCTGCCTTCTGACTGAAAGAATGCTGTGACAAAGGAAGACCAAGAAACAACTAGTCTTGTCAAAGATCATGACTGTCACAGAACTTGGAGAGTAAGGACTCTGCTTGCATCTCTTTCCAGGTCTTTTATACTAGATCAGGAAATCAGTCAGGAAACTACTGCCATATACAGACTTAAGACCAAAGGCTATCAGACTTTACTCTTAATTCTGAGGGACCTATTGTGCTTACCAGTGGCCATGGAGAGTGAGGGCTGCAGCCAGTGAATAGTCCACAGCTGGTCCAGGATACAGGTAGGCTGCAGGAAGGAGACCCAGCAAGAGGACACTGACAGCTCGCTCACTTGTCCAGTGCAAAGATGCAGCCTTGGAACTGCCTGGAAGGAGAAGTATTTTTCAGTGCAAAGTTCCTGTTCAAACTGCTGTAACCTTAAAAACAGATACATCATCACGATCAGCACCACACAATTATGTGTTTTCTCCAGCCTCATTACTAAGCTTTCATCCAAGCAAAACCTAGATGCCTTTGAATTACTGCTATAGAATATATACCTATTTTACAATGTCTAAAAGGTTTATTTTAAATATTCCTCTCTTTGCTGCTGCTAAAAAAAGACAAGCTTCTTTTACTACAAAAGAATAGAAGCTCAACAGGTAAAGTCAAAGCAAACACCAGTCCTGTTTCACAACCTGTGGTTCAGGACTAAGGGCCATGTCAACCATTACAGAAAGAACTGTCTCTGAAAGCAAAGCCTTTTTGTCCAGTGGATTTCCTGACTGTTACATACTATTTACTACTCCCACCTTTTGATAAATGGTTTTGAGATCCAAATGGACACACCTACAGGTTGCAGTGAACAGTACATCATAACTCTGTGCACAGTTCTCCTCAGGAGCCAATATTGTTATTTTTAACTGCAAATAGCAGATTAAACTTGTCGGACCATCACAGTGATATATGGCCTAAAAGTAGCCTGAGGCCAAAAGATTTCAGTCCTCCATTGATACTCAGCTGGGAACAATCTGAACCCTCTAACAGATTACTCTAGAAATAGAAATATCAGTTAGGGAGCTCTGTAACCAACTCTTACTTTTTAGAAGCGTTCAAATACTATTAGGAAGGCAAAAAAACCCACCCAAAACGTCTAGAAAGTTCTGGAGCGAACCAAAACCCAAACACCACAAGCAATACCCTGGACCAGAATGTCACCATCAGACTAGGCTAAAAACATCAAGTACTGACTCTGGGAAATTACCTTTATAATACAATATCCTGAAAGGGCTTACCTAACACATAGATATTATCCATCCATCTAAACCAAAACACATAGGTTTTTCTTTGTTTTTGCAAGGAGAAAGAAATTTAGAAAAATGTCATGATAAGGAAAGCAAAGCATGTGAAGTAAAACATAAAAGGAACCTAGGCTAGGGACTACTAAGGTGTCCCTATAGAATTCCACAGTTAAGAACACCTCATAGCACATGCATGAGGTCTGTTATTAATAAGAAATTCAGAATAGAAAGGAAGGAATTGGCTTAGCTGTATTTAAGCCAATTTCTTTTACAAGTGTTTCTTCATCCTTTCCACTTCTAAGTTGCATTGTAATGGCTACAGAACATCCTTAACCTCCAGTCACAACATTTCTCATATTGAATTGTGCAACTGACAGACCAGAACTTGGTCTTGGCATGGTTATCCTTCATCACCTCTGTGTAGTCTTACCATGTGGAGAGAGGAAAAAACAATTTAAGAAATGCTCTTTGCATGCAAATCAGACTTCTCAGATTAACCTCAGTGAATCAGAAGCTCTACTGCTCAAGAAAGAAGACACAATTGCAGTGCTTTTACGTTATTACTGCTTCTGAAACATAAGAAATATTAAATCTTATGATTCTTTTAAAAATCTTTCTACCTTTTTCCACACTCGAAAAAACCCCCACCTTTATTAGTAAGATGAGATTTGCCTAGCATTCAGTTAACCTCTCATTTAAAGACTTGCAGCATTCGCAGGCTTGATAGGGGCATTGCAAACGTCAGTTTCAAATTCAAGCAGTGCAAAGTCAAGTACACTTTTTTTAAATGAGACCCGGGCAGACTGCAAATCAACAGCCGTGCTACCGACTGAAAATAGTACTGTCGCAGGTGATGGTAGTGCATTCTGGCAACACCAGTAACCCTACCTCACCCGAGAAAAACTACTCTGCCTTGCGTCCATTTTTCCCACCCCTGGATACTCACACCTACCATTTAAAATCTCATGCACGGGTCAAAAAAATCGGCAGCTCTGACCAGACGTGGGTGTAACGGGCACACGAAGAACACACCGTCTGGCTAGAGAAATCGTTCCGAGGACGGGGCGACCACGACTTAGCGCCGGCTGACAAACGTGGCACTCGGTGCCGGCCTCGGGGAAGAGGAGAGCCCCCCCACGGCCAGACACACATACAACCCGACACATAAACACACAGAGCCCCACGAACGACGGGCGGGACGTACCGTGGCCCTGCTGAGGGGAGCTGTGGGTTTGCCGGGCCGGAGCGCTCCGATCGGCGACGGCCGCCAGGACCGCCGGGCGGCGGCCAAGGGTCCTCCCGAGGAGAGCTGCGGAGAGAAGGGGGACGAGGTGTCAGGGCCGGCCCCGGACGGCGGGGCGCGGGGCCGGCAGGCAGGCACTCACCCATCTGGGCGCCGCGGGGCCGCGCCAGTCCCGCCCGCAGCAGCACGAACGCCGCCATCGTCCCCAGCCGCCCAAGGGCACCGCGCACCGGAACCGGAAGTCGGTGTCGCCCCAGCCCCTCCGCTTCCGGGATGGCGGCGGGATGGCGAAATGGCGGCCTTTGGCAGAGCCGCCGACGGCCAGACCCCGCGCTGGCGACCTCCGGGCCGCCCCCAAGCCAGCAGCGGCTGCACGAAGGCGTCTCAGGACAGCAGCAGCGCTGCTTCGGAGGGGTTAGGTCGTACCGTAAAATCCACAGCACCACAGCACCACAGCAATGGCCACAGCGGATCCAGGCACGCTTGCTACTGAAGAATCTTTGTCCGAGGGATGCTATAAGAAGTAAACGCCTTCTTGAGCATTTCCTGTGATGTAGGTGAAGCAGTTGCGTTGTTATCGCACGACTGACCAGCAGAGAAGTGGCTGCCATAAGAGTGGGCAGCTGAAAGCAAGTGGAATCTGCAGTAGTGCTTTCTCTGAGTCTTTGGCATTAGCCAGCAGAGAAGGGCTGGTAGAGAATGGCTTTTCACTTGAAGCCATTCAAGTGAAGTAAGCGGGACCTGGAATGAGGACTTAGGGGCATCAAGACTTTTGTCCTTGTTCAGGTGTAGGCTAAAGCAGGAGCTGTGCTTGGTTGCTGAATCCCAACAGTCATACCAGTGCAATACACTTCTCTGCTTTCCACTCCAGCCTCCCTTCCTTCCTCTCCTCTAAGCCCTTCACAGCCACCTGGTCTGACCAGGCAGAAACACATGGCACAGGGAGAACACAAGGACCACCTAGACTTCTCAGGCCTGTGCTCTGTCCCCGGGCTTTACTCTGAAACAATGACAAAAGCATCAAACATGTCTGGATTTGTTTTATTTTGTCAAAAGGCTTGACTGCTCAACTGCAGGGAGAACTGCCCAGTACCAATTTCTCCAGTAATACATTGGGCAGACCAGAGACAGAACACAACACCCATCAAGGCTTCTCTGTTGGCACAAATGGTTTCAGCATCCCCCTAAAGAGAACAAAGGAAAGGTAGATGCAATGGCCAGCCCATGCCAGGATCTGGAGAGAAGTCTAAAACAAGCAAATGCACTGGTCTTTTCTTCATCATTACGGAAGGAGTCACTGCACCTTCAGCTGAAATGAGAGTATTCCCTCATGCTCCCTTCTGTGTCCAGCTGACCCTGTGTCTACCACCACACAGGTCTGCTTTTGTTGGAGGACGGGAAGACAAAGCTACTGTAAGGTTAATTCCAGTGACATTTCCTCTGTTATCAGACTTTTTGTGCCTCCCTTCTCCTGTTGCAAGTCTTGGACATTGATTTGGTAACCAAAAAAGCAATCTGTTAAACTTAATTTAGCAAAAAATAGAAGTGGCGCAAATGCGCCTGTTTTCCCCCTGCAGATAGCCTATAACATTATCATGCATCAGAGGTCAACCTGGTCACAGAAAAAGGATCTGAAGTTGGCAGGACTAGTCAACCTGTGAGACGGGCAAGTGCTCCCCTGGTTTTCTGAATGTCAAGTCAATGAAAAGCAAGGGGGCACCTACTGCAGGCTGCCAAGGCTCAGTTTCTCCCCTGTGGGCTGGCAGGATGTATATAAACCACAGTGTTGAAGTAAGTTGTATCATGGGGCAGTGCTGAAAGACAAAAACCCGCCTCTGTCCTCTACGTTACTGTTTGAGCTGCGGCCTAGACTCATCAGTCCTCATCTGAGCTATCCTCCGATTTTTCATCAGCGGCCACTTTCCAGTTCTTCCTTTTGCTCTTCTTCTCTGGTACTTCACTGTGCCTCTCTGACACAGAATTGTGACGTTTCTTTCTCTTTTTGGGTGGCCGTTTCTCTTTTTTCTCCTCAGATTCACTGTCCTCAGAGCTGCTGGTGGTTGAGCTGCTTGCATGAGAAAAGTCACTTTCCTGCCCAGAAGAGGTAGGTTCTCTGGCAGGCACTTTCCTGGTCTTTTTCTTGCGCTTGTGTTTCCCTTTCCGGGTGCTTGAAGCCTCCTCTTCTGAGCATTCACTCTCCTGGGAAGAATCTGATGATGTTCGCCCTTGCTCCTTTTTCTTTTTCTTTCGCTTTTTGTGTGACCGCTTTTTTTGCTTCTTCTTGTGCGATTTCTTTGTTTTTTTCCGTTTGTGCGACTCATGGGCAGTTTGCTTTCCCAGATGAGATTTCTTCTTCCCGTTGATAGCGTTTTGTTCACCTCCTTCTTGCTGGTCACTGTAGAAAGAACAAAGGAAGACCAAAAGGAAGCAGACAGGCAGGCACATAGCACTCGAGCCTTTTCTGTCTTAAAAGTTTTAAGGAAGCCCCTAAATTCATTTGGCTAGAGCAGGGAAGCAGATGCATTTTTCTTCCAAGCACTTATCAACAGCTTGGGTCCATACCTTACTAATACTCCTGTTTAAAGTATCTGACCCAGAACCAAGGATGAATGACACCACTGAGTGATGAAAATTCATTTACAGCAGGTTACTTCAAATCTCTAAGCCTGACAAATATCACACTTGATGAATCTGTTAGGTGTAGTTTAAAAAGAATTTATTCTAAGATCTTACTTTAGATTTAAGTCTCCACTCTCCAGGATACTGCAAGAATTTATATTCTCCAAATAAGGAGAAACACAGAAAATACAGGTACACTATAATGGAAAGGAGAACCTGGAGCTGATACTTGAGGGGGTATATACTGAGCTGATTTGAATTCAGCCTACTACTCCGGGTCTCTGTGGCCCAGACAGGCCTTCCAGATTCACAGCATTTTAGTAACTCAAGCTAAAGCTGAACATCTAATTACTATAAAAGATGCAATCCCCTTCTAAGACTCAGACAACAGAGAAGCACATTAATGGACTAGATTTTTTTCAGTGGGTGTCTGTAACTAAGTAGTGCTGCTTTACACTCAAGGCTGAAATATATTTGAAATGTAAAACTCAGTTTGTAAAATTCCCTGCATAACCTGACAGAAGTAAGATTCTGGATATATTAATAAGCCTGCTTGCCTTACCTATCTGTATCAAATTCTTCAGGGTACAACTCTTTATAGCCACTGTGACCCCACCTGTAAGAAAGCAGAACAATTAGAAGCAGACAAGGTGTTTAAGGAAAAAATGTAATTCTGGAAAGACAGCCACAGAATGAACATAAGTTTAGATAGCAAAGTACCTTCCCAACAAAGAAGGAAGCAAATACTTTGTTGGTACTATTTAAAGACATGTTATGTTCTCAGTCTCTTTTTTATTTCTAATTAGGGAAAACTACAACTCAAATCTCTTTAAAACAACCCTGGAGAGCACTAACTTGCATTTCTCAAGATTTCTTTAAGTTCCCTGGGCACAGTAATAAATACGAAGCTTAGCTGCTGATCTTAGGGCTGAGCTTTTGCTGCTTACTGTGACTTAGGAACTCTACAGATGGACTCAAATTAGGTATTCTGTGATAGTGCAAATGTTCATGCATGTTACTTATTCATCCTCAAAATGAGATCAAGTATTATTGTGTAGGAGTACTGAAAAGAGAAACGTACTAACGTTTTGGTACAGGGCTCCAGAAAGGTGCTTTAATTACAGTTATAACCACAGAACATTAATTCCCCCACAGACCTGTCTGGCATGTTGGCTTCACAGTCATATATCTTTTTATTCCAGGATCGGGCCCTAAGGAGATCATCTTCGACTAGGTCAAGGAATTGTGAGTTCTTTGTTTTCCAGTCAGCCCTGTGGCCCTCGTCATCAAAGCCATCACTGCGCATCCGACTGCTGCAGAAAGAGAACAGTTGTCCTTCAGCTGTCAGCTCTGATGGAGAAACTTTCTGAGCAAGGGGTTAGTCCAGCCAGAGAAGCAAAAATCCAGCAAGTCTTGGATGTCCATCTATGCAAGAAGACCAGCTATCATTTTAACAGACAGTCACCATTAACGGCTCTCACAAAACCAGTTCAGTACCTAACACTGGTTTCCAAAACTTACTACAGCCCTCTATGCACAGCAAAATTCTTGTCAGAGATGCTTACAATGCAAAATTAGAGGAAGGGGGTTATCTTGCCTATGACAACAAATGCAGTTCTCTTCCTCTGTAATACTCTGCAGGAGCAGAGTAACAATATGCAGTGAGACATAGGCTAGTAACAGCAGCCAAGAGGAAACTGAAGTAGAACTGACTTACTAGAATTGTAACTTGAACAGGTACCAGGACTAAGACCCCAAATCCAGAGAAAGCACCAACAGTTTTGAGTGATCTCACATGCTTGTGGCTCCAGTTACCTTTCTCACTTGAAATGCCACACTTCCTGAGCCAAGCAGCAGCCATGGACTTAGCGTAAGTCTGAAAAGTGCTCTGCCCTGAGATACTAAAACCACTTCCTGCAACATTCACACTTCTGAAATGTCTTCATGGTAGTAAGCTCCCCCCACCCAAGCCCAAACCCTCCCCTCAAACCCAGCTTGTTTTCATGTAGCTTGTGAGATCTTCAGGCGTGTCAGAATGGTTTAACAGATACCACACAAGCAGCGGTCAACACTGCTGTGTTATAATAGCGCAGGACCCCACACCACAACAGTTTTATATACTGCTAACATAAATGGCAATACATCAGACTTCCCTCACAATATTCTGACATATTACTTAAGCACTTCCTACATTGCTTCAGAGAGGCCAGCCTACCTAATGCTGTACTTTGAAAACTATACATCTAGATGAAGAGATAAAAGGTCAGACGGAAGCACAGCTCTGCCCTCTTTCCAGGGACTTATTAAGGAGAAAATAAATATATCTGTAGTCTATGTAGTCTTCCTATATTGTAAACACATAGTCATCACAGAATGCTCTTAAAGTATGACAACACAAAAAGGTTCAGCACCTAAGTCAAGATAATTACCTCCTCCACACAACTAAAACCCACCTGGAGCTGTTTGACAGCATTCTGCTTTGCCTTTTCCAGTAAGTCTCTTGTGTCTGCTTCTCCCACTCCCTTATTTTCCACATTTCTGTCTCTTCCTGTATCTGAAAGCCACAGAAAGGAAATACGTGGAACATTTGGGAAACTTACAGTCATGTAGCATGCAACATCAGCTTCTAGCTCAACACTTCTAACAAAATTCACAGCAAACTTTCCTACCATACTGAAACAGATTATTGTTTCTAGCTATGACCAAGGTAACCAAAAGGAAATCTCTTGATGGCAATAGCCTAACAAAGCACATAAGGATAACGGCATCAGAAATGGTGAGTTTACCTGATTTTGCAATCTCATCTGTTCTGGCTACCCTGCCTTGTCATTCATTACCATCCCAAACATACGTACTGTTAGAGAATTCAGTATATAAATATCATCTGGAAAGACCAAGCCAAAATCACAGGTTCCACTACAGGCTGAAAAAACAAAGCATGCAAATATGGAGTGGTTTGACAAAGATTTACAGTTATGAACACTGACTGTAAAAGAGTGATTTTATAAATACATTAAATGAGTTGCTGAATTATGTCAGAAATTAATTAAATAGTTCACTGAAGCTAATGGAGCTTCTTAATCTTGCACTAAAATACTGCCTGTGCATATTAACACAAAGTTCAAATCCTTTGATGCAACTAGAAGTACATACACAGTAAAACAAGAAAAAAAAACCCAAACCAAAAGGTTTGTTACTTTATAAGAACGCAAGAAAAACCCGGTTAAACTGAAAGTAACACTACCGATGTCTGCGTAGCCGATTTCAACAAGCTCCCCTCCCCTCCGGAACGCGGACCCGCTCCTTCCCCCGCGTCCCACCACAGCCCGAGCACTCCGCCCGCCCCCGCTCCCCGCTCCGCCGGGGGGGGCACCGGCATCCCCGGGCCCCGCAGGCGCTGCCCAAGTGATGGCCTTTTCACTGGGACACAAGCCGCCGGCAGAAGCGGGCACGGGGCAGGGCCAGGGCCAGGCGGAAGAGCCACCGCAGGGAGAGGGGACAAGGGGCCCGGCAGCCGCCACCGGCCCCGGCCGTACCTTGTTGTGCGCGCCCGTGTGCCGGATAACGTTCCGCAGCAGCACCTTCCCCACCGGCACCCGGGACATCCTCTCGGCCCACACGGCCCCGCGGACGCCGGCCCCACCGGCAGCCCAACCCCTCACGGCCAGGACCCGGTAGCAGGAAGGGCCGGTAGAGGCCGGGCCTGCTCCCGGCGGCTGGCCGGAAGCGGTCCCCGCCAGGTGCCTCCTCCCGGCAACAGGCGCCCGGAGCCGCCGCAGGCCCCGAGCCACGGGCGACCGCGGGGCGTAACGGCCCGGCAGCGGCTCCGGGGCCAGGTGGGAAGCGTCCGACTCCGCCGCGGGACCGGCGGGCGCGGGGGTCGGGCGGTGGCAGGGCCGGAACGCACGGAAGAGGGAGGAGGAGGAAGGAGAAGGCGGACGGACCCGCAGCGCGCGGCACTTCCGGCTGCCGTTGCTAGGCGACGGCGGCGGCCATGGCGGACGCGGTGCTGGCGCGGGCCGCGCAGCTCTGGTCGCTGCTGGACGAGATGGCGGAGAACGAGCCCCAGGCCTATCGCCGGCTCCTGCGGCAGCAGCGCGCCGAGGCCGAGCGGCTCTGCGCCCTGCCGGAGCCTCACCTCTGCCTGCGGGCCCGTCCCGGGGTGGGTGCGCGGGGTTCGGGGCTTGGCCTCCAGCCCGGGTACCGAGAAGGGGGCGACGGGGCGCTCAGCCGCGGCTCGGTCTCTTGCAGGGCGTTGTCGCGGGGCCGCTGTTCATCAACGTCTGCAGCTGGAAAAGGGTCCCGGCGCCCAAGGCCCCCACCGATCCCACGCCAGTCGGTGCGGGGCCGCTGGAAGAAGTATCTGGCGAAGGAGGTAGGTGCCGAAAGAGCTGCGGCTGGCCCCGGCTGCGTTTCTTCCTGCAGCAGAGCATTGTACGGCAATCGCACACACACTCTCGCTGCAAGAGGGTGGTGCTGTGCCGTGGCCAGCTCTTGGCTTGGGGTGGGGGTGGCAAGGCAGGGATGCAGCATGGACTCTAAATAAATTCCTTCCTTTTTGGAAAAAAAAAACCAACCACCCACCCACCCAACACAAACCAAAACTGAAGAAATACAAAGTTTGGTTCCATCGCAATAATTCTGACACACAACTTATTTTTATAGACCTTTACAGTGTTATAGATATTGCATATAACCCAGATGTTCTTCAGAGGGCAGAAGAAAACCCAGAAAAAATGGAGCACTTGATACATTTGACACTCAAATTCATTGAGAAGCAATGCAACCTTACTCTTTCTTATTTGTACATCGAGCCATTCAAATTGAAAGGAAGCCTGGAAACAATGCAGCAACGTCTGAAAGGCAGGCAGATGCCAACTCCACATCTCAGTCAGAACACAAAGAAGGGTATGTAGAGATCTGTCACTTTTCTTTGCAGATCTATCAGATTCTCCAACAAATTTACTCAAGCCTCATCTCCCTAACCCCAATTCTTGCCATAAGCATAAACCAAATGCTAAATGCTTCTCTCTAAGAATTCAGAATAAGGCTAGTATTCATACCAGACATTAGTTTCACCCCACTGGCCTATCTTCATTCATCTCTGGTGTTTTACATTTGAGAAACTGTAGTGACACGGGAACAGCAAATTCTCTTTTTTCTGTATCCATAGGAACTCTGTTGGGTTTGATCCTTTGAGCTGTTAAGTTTGTTTTCTCTAACCTGAGTAAAAGGGGCTGCTGCTGTCACTAGTATTCTGAAAACAGCTTTTAACCTGTTGCCAATAAAACAAAATCACAGGCAAAGGAGAAACTGTCAGTAACAGTCTTCAGCAGACAAAATTCCTAATTACAGTTAAAACTTTTGTGATATACTTGTCAAATGGCATAACATTAATGTTCTTAGTAAGTGAGTGATATGTGTAAAAAACTTTTTTCTTGAAAGAACTGACACTTGATCAGCTGTTACGCAGTATGGAAGCCGAGGACTGCAGCAATGCTCCTGTGCTGCTGAAGGAACAAAGTGAGACACAGTCTAAAGCACACCTGATAGAGGAAATTGCCAGTACCCAAATGCCAGAGAACCTAAGTACCCCTGACTATGAAATGATCACTGTGAAGGATGCAAGCAAGAAACCACTCAAAATTGAACTCAAAATTAAATTGCCAAAGGTTAGCTCTGTTTCGGAATGTGATCTGAGAATTTCAAAGGTAAGATAGCATAAAGAGTAACTTTGTGTTTTCTGCCTAGTATCCAATTCCTAGAAATGCTCACTGCTAATTCATTGTCAAATAGTTAACCAACTATTTTCATTTTCTTGGTTTAGGATGACATAATCATGGAAGTCCCTGAAAAATACAAATTACAACTAGATCTGCCAGAACTGGTGGATGAAGAAATGACAACAGCAGTATTTCAAAAAGGAAAACGGGTATTATTTATCACACTGCCAGTTGCCAAGCCAGATCCTTAAAGACTGCATTCTGTCCAGTTCATATTCACAGATGACAGAACAAAGCAAAAGCTCAAAATGAGCATCCTAACATTTAGATGGTGATAATGTTTTTGGTTTTTTTTTATTGACCTCCTAATCTTCTTTAGAAGATGGATGTAGAGAAGAAAATCCGGAGGAACACTAGCACGGCCAAAATTAGGAAAAAAGTAAGTAAAGATTGTAATTAGTCAGGGAGTGCTTGAGTATGTTAACAGCTGTAGTAAAGAACCATGAATGCCTACATGCTTTACTACAGCATTCATTTTGCCTTAAGGTACAGTAGTAACAGTTGTGAAGCCTTTTTGCTAAATAAATTGATTACTGGATTCACATGGTTAGAGCAGCTCTCACATTTATTTAATGTGTCGTACAAGTTGCCCTGCGTGCTGCTGCTGTTCTCTTTAGGACCGTCCCTGCCGACCTTAACTGAAATAGGCTTTGCAGTTCCTGAATACACTTGACCTCACTTCTTACTGGTTTGGTCATCTCAGAATGAGAAAATGAAACAACAGACCTATTCTGTACTATTCAAAACAGCATTTAGAGATTCAAAGCTCAGGTACGCTTAGTGTGAAAGCTGGCAACAAAAACCAATCTTGGAGCACTTCAACTGGGAAAACCATCTGCATTATTTTACACTAGTACACAAAATACAAAGTAACTTCAAGGATTACTAAGAATTGCTAGAATTAATTGGAAAGGAACAAACCAAAGTGCCATTCATACAACTTCTTGACACATTTGCACTACATCCATGTTTCAGTACTGATACTCATCAGATCAGAAACGAAAACCAACAAATTTGGTTTTGAGCTGCAACTTTACAATACAGGCCTACAAAAGAGCAGTAACTCCTAGCTTTCTCCCTTCTTTTCAAAGCAACTTAGAAGGTTCATTGAAATATTGTTCAGTGGTTATAGCTGCAAGTTCAAGCTGAAATTCTATCACTGCATGAGCTGAGCTGGCCTGTTGCAGGATGCAAGCAGTACCCAAAGTCACTATCAGCACTCCAAGCACACATACTGGATAGGATTTTTTTGATTTGCAAGTGCTGCAGAGTCATTCAGAGAGGGTTTCCACAGGATAAAATATTTAGCATTCTTACTGCAGGAAGAAAGTGAAAGGTCTCTGTAGCCCGAATTTTAGGTTCTGCTGAACACTGCAGCAAGGAAACCAGGAAGATTAAAGTTCACTGCTACATGATAGTAATAAAGCATGTATTATTTTGCAACACTTGTGATTACAATTGAAGGTTAATAGGGTGAGTTTCACTATCAGACTGAGAGGCTAAACAGCTGATTGTGCTCTAGCAGTACAGGAAGCCACATATGACTGAACAGAAAAGCACCGGAACATGTTTTAGTAGTTGTCAATTCCAAACATTTAATAGAACATAGGTTCACTAGAGCAAGTCTGGAACCAAGATATTTTAGATCATTAAAGAAAAACCAAAACCTTAATGCACTTTTTTGTTTAAGCCAGGCATGAAAACCAGGTATCACAGCAACCAGACATTAAATAGTTCCCACAAAAATATTTAATTTCCACAGTATTTTCTTTCAATATCTTTAGTGATTTTTGTAGAACTTTACAGGAGACAGTACTTAATGCAATATACAGAATAACAGATCAACTTTAACCCTTCCTTTCTTTTTCTTAAACTTCTCCCCTGCTATTCAGTTCTCCTGGTCACTTTGTAATTACTACACAGTTATCCTTTTTACATTAACATTTCCATGTGGAAAGTGGAATTCAAGAATCTTCAGTACTGCACCCCTTTCAGGATACGACAATTGGGGTAACTGGACACAAGTCCAGCAAACTATTGAAGCGTTTTACATACAATATATACATGGATAGCACATTCTGCAGTTTACTGAGGCTGGGACAACATAGACAATTCAGGGAAGAACCACAGTACCAGTGACTAGCTCGGAGCTTCCTATGTTAGAATGCCTGAAAAAAAATATTCCAAACATTCACATCATCACATGATTAATATCCGCTAATGGGATTATTAGCATGTGTGATGTGCCTATATTGGGTTCCAACACACAGATTCTCTTGAACGTTCTGCAAAACAGCTACTTCCATGGCATCATAGTCTGATATTAACTTAGCAACAGGAATAGCAATTAACGAGTTTTCATACAAAAAGCACATGTAAGTGAAAGTCCACGAGAAGAGAGCACATTCCCTGTGGTATCTGAGAGCTATGACCCCACAGCTATCAGTGCTCTTTCAACCTTACTTTAAAGTGCTCAAAAGGGATCACATAGCTGAGAAGGTCCAGACCCGTGCCAAATTCCAAGAGAGATTTGGAATGTTAGCACTTGGCCTTTGAGAAACTATTCCCAGGCACTTCTGTCCCTTAGTGCAACTGCCATACTCGCCCACCCCAGCAGGAGAACAGGATAATAAGGAAATTCACCTACTAACTTGTACGTTTCAGTTACCATCTCATCTGAACTCCTGTGAAGAGATGTTCATAATTCAAATTTCTGAGAACACTGAGGTCATGAAATTGTTTGGTATGCACCCCCCTGTTCACCCGAGTTTAGAACCAGATGGCAGTGTGCATACTGCCGGGATCATTTTTAAATCTGGGATGTGTAACTCTGTTTTGGAAGAGTTTGCAAGTTAACTAACTGTATGAAAATACAGTGTAGCTGTAATATTGCTCTGAAAAGCACTTTTGCAAACTTTTTCTGTACAGACTGGTAATAACATTACCAGATAATATAATACATATTTAAAATAAAAAAGGAACTTTTTTAATAAGTCTGAACACTAAAGTCTAAATAGCTTGTTTAAAACAAAACAGTGTGACCCAGGAAAATTTTGCTTGCATGGTTACATTATAGCAGCATGGTTACTGGCTTTTCAAGGAAATTCTTGAATTCAGCAAGCCACTGCGCTCCAACTGCTCCGTCCACAACACGATGGTCACAGCTAAGTGTAACGGACATCATACTGGCCACATCAAATCTGAAAAAAAAAATAGGGAAAAAAGAGGGTAAACACAATCCTCTGCAACTCAATAATTCATCCCTTAGGTTTTCCTTAAATGCAAATTTAAGCAAGTTGTTGAAGAGGAAGAGGTGCCTAAACTGTTGTGGATGTCAAGACTTTTCCACAGCTTAACCCAACCCCTGAAAGAAAGAAACAGCCTTTCCTTAACTTGCAAAGAATTTGCGAGAATAAAAGTTTGGCATGTATCATCAGTCACTGCATTTCTCTTTAAGGTCTGTGTAACTGTACTTCTTCAGAAGATACTGAAAACAGTATGTCAACAACTAATTTTATTTGTTTTACATGATAATCTAATGGAACTAGCCATTATTTCAAAGTTTGAATTCAGAAAGTTCAGTACATGCAGAATGAATACCTACCCTTTCTCATTATCAGCTGGCACTAGCCTTTTCTCTGAGGAACCAACTGCGAGGATGCAGGCTTGAGGTGGATTGATTATGGCAGAGAAGTTCTTAATCCCATACATTCCTAAATTGGAAATTGTGAAAGTACCACCCTACAAGAAAAATACATTAATAGTCAAATTCGCAAAAGCTGTTTCATGTGGAACATGGCTGAAACATCACAAAATAGGCTTTGCTCGTTCTGAACAGGGCTTCTAAACAGAAGTCAAGGACAGCAATGTTTAACCGCAATCCGAGCTTCTCACCTGGAATTCATGAGGCTGAAGTTTACCTTCTCGGGCTTTAGTTGCCAAAGAAACTACATCCTTACTAATGGAAGCCAGGCCCTTTATATGTGCATTAAACACAATAGGGGTTATAAGCCCTGCGGGAGTACTAACCGCGACGCTGACATCCACTACGTGATTTCTGCAAGACACAAAGGAGATGCCAGTTACTCTAGTTAAGATAACCAAGAAAATAAATTTTAGAACTCTTCAGACAACTGTAACTTAATAGTAATTTTGCAACAATTATTCTACCTTGCACGCTAGCCTTAGACATAAGGTTCTTAGCATTTCAACAAAAGCCCCTCAACATGTGCATAAATCTGTTCCCCTCCCTTCTCAATATCCCAGCAGAAGGTCTGCTATTTTACCATGAACCCTCTACTGAACAAAGAAAGTTTCTGGCTTCGACCGTACCATAAACTTACTGCCTAATAACTGTGTCCATCCATGAAGAATTTGCCTCAGGCACCTTCAAGCATGCCAGAGCAGCAGCTTTAATTATGAAGTCATTGACAGAAAGCTTAATGTTATCCGAGACCTCCTGTAAATAAAGAGATTTGAGGTGTCAGTTTGTCTCTTACACATTAACTCAATTAACTTGGATAGTCACTGCCATACACCCTAGTTTAGACAAAGTCTTAGAAAACACTGACACTACTTGTAAGTATTTGAAGTGCCAAGATAATTTCAGAGGTGAATACATCTGTTTCATAATTTAAGAAGGTACAATCTTTTTTAATGTCTGGTTTTTTCCCAAGCTTGGCTCAGAATTATTATTTTGCTTAGATTTTCTACCTTTTTTACTCTTAAAAACCTTTTTACCTTTTTGCTCTATTATCCAACTGAAAGAACTGAATAACACCAAGCAGAGTACAAAGAGGCCCTCTAAGGGAAGTCAGAAATTAGTGCACATTACCTGGGTAAAAAGTCTTATTTTGTCACAGACAGTCCAGAACTGATCCACAACAGGTAGAAAAGGCACTGAAAAGACTATTTTTTCCAAGACAAAATGGCATATCACCAAAAACCAGGGTGGGCAAACTTGTGAGAGAATGCAGCTTTCCCCACACACGCACTCTCACCATGCCTAAATGCTTTACCTGATTGAGTTCTTTCCTTAGCACCAGTACTTCTCCCATGTTCACATCAATAGAAAGATAGTAGTGAGGTATTGTTTGTTTAGACTGCATCAACCGCTGAGCAATGACCTGTGGGTATAGAACAGAACCAATGAAAATAAATCCATCTGGAAAATTCATGACTGCAAATAATGATCTCGGAAAGGAATAAAATCTTCTTACCCTCCGAATGTTACTGATAGGGATATCTGTGAAGGTCCCCACTGGTGCTGCTGCAACTGCAGCAGCTGCAGGAACTGCCTCTGGTGCTGGAGCCTGCAATCAGAGAAAGACAGCATGACTCCCAGTACTATCCAAATACCAATTGTACAGAGTAATTCAGTATGTGGGACAAGTGCTGAGGCACAGCTGCCTCTTGCTTAAGAGCAGCAGATATTTCTACTCTCTACCCCAACCTCTCCAGTACCCACAAGGTTCTTTATAAGTCCTATATTCAATTATCAAATGTAGTACTCGAGTGATTTAGAAATGCAACACTGATATCC